CAAGTCGACTTAGAATTGTATTTGACGTATCTCCTCACGAAGGAGCACAGCTTTCAATTAATGACTGTTTATTTTAAGAACTAAGTTTATATCCGATTTTATTTTAAATGATTTTAAAATTTTAGCAGATTACAATCGCCTTCCCAACCGATATAAAAAAAGCATATCGACAAATTTTGATCTATCGTTGTGATAGAAATTTTACCAGAATCGTTTGGACTGATAATATAGGTTCTAATTCTTATCAAGAAATGAACTTTAGTAGAGTTTTATTTTGATTAAAATCAAGTCCATATTTATTAGCTGCAACTCTGAAATATCATTTTGATAAATGTAAAAAGTAATTTCCTAATACATCAAATTATTGTCAGATTGTAGACGATTTAATTGGAGGAAAGAAGTCTCGCAAGCGGCATTGAAGGTTATTAAAAATGTGACAGGATATAACGAAAACTGAAAATCAATTCCAATTAAACTTCGATAGTTCTGGAAAGATGTTGGGTTTGACATCGACGAGGGAAGGTGCTCAAATACAAGGACTTGACTTACCATCCAAGCTGCTGAGTCTGGTTTGGGACTCAGAAGCGGACAATATCTTTTTCAACGTTTTTACGTTTTTACTATCAAAGTTTATCAAGAACGGAATTGCTTCTAAAAGTTTATTCTTTGAATAGTGGGTCATATTTATGATCCTGTTGGATTTCGGTACGTTTCATCATACAGCTGAAATGCATTCTCCAAGAACTTGCCTAGAAAGTGAGTCATGATCTTGAGTAGGACAACAAAGTTCCATCCTCACTGGATCAAAAGTGGCTATTGCGGTGCAGTGAAGTCGAACACTTAGAAGATCTCCTGATTCCTAAACGCTATTTTTCAAATTTAAATTATTTCACTTGAAATTCATTATTTTCCAAATTCATTTCTTTTAGCCTATATAACAGTGCTATATTTGAGAACCATATTAATAGATGGGAGGATATATATTAGTTTTCTTTATTCTAAAAATCGTGTAGCGCCTCTTACATTACCAAGACTCGATTTAATGGAAATTTTAATATCCGCAAGATTAGCCCATCAAGTAGATGTTTTACATTTAATATAACTATTATTTTTGAACAGATTCTAACAATTACGTTATTTTTGGATTAAGGGACAATCTAGTAGATGCAAAACTTTCTTAAAAACAGGATAGAAAAAATTCAGGCTTTGTCAGATGCCAATAACTGGGCTCACTTGTAGAGACATTAGGATTTTTTGGAGGCCAGAGAGATGGAAAATTAACAAACGCCTTCGCCGAAAATCAACCACGGATTTCTGAAATACCGGCTCAGTGTGCTGACCACTACACACTTTCCAGAAAAGATAATCTTGCAGCCATCCCCTCCAAAAGAGTTTCCGCAGCAAATTTAGATAAGAACCAGTTTTGGTTGCATGGCCCACCGTAGTTAAGCCAACCACCTGAATTCTGGTTTACTAGAAAATGAGGTCTCAAAACTTTGAGGAAAAAAGGGGAAAACTTTGAGTTTCAAACTTTGTGCTAAAAAAGGAATTTGAAATAACAGTGCAAAATAAATGTTTGATAGAAATTCTGAATTTATTTTAGATTGAAGTAAATATAGTTGTTTATTAAAAGAACTAAGAATAACTGTACTAATTAAATGGTTAGTTAATAACCTTTAAGACTGCAAACGGTTGCAGGTCCTCTTTCAGCAGAACTTTAAATTGCAGAAATAGACTGGATAAAACATGAACAAAGCACTGGACTTAATTACAGAATATTAAAAAAGATATATCGATTCCTAAAGAATCTCCACTTTTGAATTTAGCCACATTTTTTTCGACATTAGTGGTGCGTTACGCTTAAAAGGAAAATTAGAAGGAGGAATACTTACGAAAAATGACGTTCACCCTGTGCTTCTTCCTAAATAATATATACTTAAAGAATTAATTATTATTAGAGGGGAAAGTAAGATTTTTCATGGTGGACTGACATCTATGCTCGCTAAAATTAGGTTTAAATTTTGGATTCGATTGTAGGGTTTATATTTATTTTAACTAACATTTATTTTAAGTTTAAACTATCTTTCCTGTCAAGCCTTACTTTTCCCTGGAATTGCCAATGCCAGAGTATGTAAATTTTAGTAGAACGCGCAAGGATTCGAATTGTCAGCGGAAGTAATCTGAGTTAAATAGAAGGGAAACGAGTTCGAAAGTGTGCTTTCTTGCTTCACGAGCGTGGAGGTAGTTAGTTAGAAATTGAAGAACCACGCGTTTCGGCCTGTGTGCTTGCCTCGGCAGATTGTTAATCGTTCAACCGTGATATTCAGAAGTTTGCTGAATTATCAGCGGTATTTTAGAACGCGGTGAGGTTAGTTACGTTTTAGAGAGCCTCGTAGTTAGAGTCACTTGTTACTTTCTTTTTTTTTAGTTTCTTATTTTTATTTTACCGCCGGGTCGGCGTAGTTTGTGAGCGTCAAGAGCACGCATTTGTAATTTCTAAAGTTGAATAAAAAGAGATTTAAACCCTTCTCAAGACTTTGTGTACTTTCCAGTTATTAGCAGTCACCACTATTGTTGCATGCAGGTTGGAAGCGCGCAACATTATACCATGATGTAGACAAACTCTAAAAGGAATAATACGGAAAGGCTTAATTTGTCGACAATATAGTTTGAAACCAGCTAAACATATAAATAGCCAATTGCACAAAAATCACTGTAACTCATATTGATTTTACTGACCCACTTTTAATAAAATTAGGCAAGGATGCGCCTCAAAAGTTTTACATAGCATTGTTTACAAGCAGCTCTGCACATGAAATTAATCACAAATATGTCTACAAAAAGTTTTTTTTTTTTTTTTTTTTTTTTTTTTTTTTTTTTTTTTTTTTTTGTTGTCATTGAGATTTTGGGCTAGGAGAGGAAATTGTAAAGTTATCATTTCCGATAACGTTAAGAGCTTCAGAGCCACTAATAAAATTTTAAAAGAATTTTAAAGAACTATAAAAGTTAAAAGATTTCATATCAATAAACGGCATAATTTGACAATATATTGCGCCTCACTTCCCTGTAGGATTTTATGAAAGGCTTATAAAAAAGCGTCAATGAACTTTTAAGAAAAAATCTTGAAGTGACGTTCTTTGAGGAACTGATGACTATTTTTTCAGATATTGACTTAGTTGAGAATCACAGACCTCTTACATATGTCCACAATGATATAAAAGAGCTGCAAGCTCTCACAACCGTCCAGTTCATGTTTCCTGGGCAGGACAACATTTCTTATCCTGTACATTACACTGACCTTTTCAAGAATGAGCCATCGAACAGGAAGACTTTGGTCATTTAGTACGATACATGCGATTACGCTAGAGATATTTTATTTAAATACATATCAGGCGTTGCTTCATTGAATTATACCAATCCGTTCGTTAGGAGACTTGTTGATGCGCTCAGGTAAATCGAAATATACTAAAACGTTAAATATATACGATTGGTTGAATCCCTAAGTTATAATTCATACTGATACACTAAAATGCACTGGAATTCGCATATATATACTGAGTTACAAGTATTTATTTCGCACATACAATTAAGACCTTAATATGATATTCGCTGTCCTGAGTACGTCAGCGCTACACCGAAAGATGCAACAACCTGAATATCGTGTGTGGGAAATGTACATTCCAAATAATATTAGCTTGCAAAACTTTGCCATAAGTACATACTTCTATATACACATATGCGGACGCAGCTATCTACATGTGTGTCCTGTATACACTTACAGTACGAAACAGTACGTAGCAAATGGGCGTGGCTAAGTTGTGAGCTGAACTTTAATGTTTTTACGACTCTTGGGAGTTTAGATTTACGGCTAGATTTGTACTACGGCTTAGATTTGTGGGGCAGTAAACTCTGTACTGCATACTGCAGAGTTCCGTGCCCAGAGCTTTAAGTTTGCTTTATCTTTTTATGAAATGCACAAAAGATTTCTTTAACGAGAAATCTTTCTTGCGCAACCATTTTTGCTGGAAGACTAATATGCCATGTTGCTGTGAGCGGGCAGGTTGTCAGGTAATGCGCGGGTTCTCCAACCTCACCACAAGCACAGATATTGGTACCCGTAATACCTCTATTAAAAAAGAAATGGTCCATTCCCGTTACGAATCTCGTGAGGTGTGGGTCAGAGGCCAGTGCTTCTGTTGATGATTTACGGAAGAATTCATGAATCCTTTCTGATTTCATCTTTTAAAACGAATCTTAAAACGGATGAGGTTGTATTACTGGAGGGATCGACGAAATCAGTATTATTATGGTCTCTTGGAGTTATAGAAGTTTATAAAGGTAGAGACGCGTACGTTCGTTCATCTTTGTTTCTTACTGCTCAAGGATTTTATCGAGGGCCAAATTCAATTGATCTAGCAATTTGAAATTCAAAAGCTATTCTTTTGAAATTTAAAGGTTATATACAATACTTTCTTATACCATACAGTGTTAATTTGCAATGTAATTTTCAATATTGATTTGTGTTTAGGTTGATTTTCATAATATTGATTTATATTTATATGAACATTTATTATTGATGCTTAATTTGATGTACTCTTAACAGTATTTGGTGTATTCTTACAGTGCACAAAATTTGCGTACTCTTTACAGAATGCACCTGCACTCTAAACAGTGTACAGCTGGGGTGTGTTGCAATTTTTCATCGTAAGAGGACGCTGTTGCACAGAAAGAGAATATTCTGTTTGTTTACGTTATGCAACAGTTGTTGATCCTTTGCATTGTTGTTGTATTACTGTGAATGAAGCAGGTTTTTTGATGTCCTCATTAAAATTTAAAAAGGCAATGTAGTCGTTTTTTGTTTAACCATCGATGTCAACTAGGCGTAGAAAATTAAAATTGACATTTTTTATTCATTCCACAACAGTTTAGAAATTTTCTATTCAGATTTACTTTTTGACGTTTGTATACTTCTTTAACCTCAAATTAAACACAAAACTACGTCTGTTAATAAATAATTTTAATTTTTCTAATAAACTTCAATACAAATGTATTGAAAATACACAGAAAACTTTTATCTTGATTTTAATGTTTTAATGCAGTTGACGCTTTAATATGTTTTCTTGATTTCCTTTTTATTTTTGTGAAGAAGATTTTTTATTGGCAAAGAACTGTGGAAGGAGACATATAAGAAGCATTTTGATTTTTCCGTTACTAATAGGTAAATCGATCATGAAACGGTATATAATCGACATCATCTTCTTCTAGAATGATATCAGGATATTCTATTCTGTTAAATTTATAAATATGAGGGGACAAATTCCTTAGATGCTTTCCAACTAAATCTTCCCAACTCAGTTTCTTTTTGTGTTCAACGGATCTCAAGTTTTCTAATTCATCATGAATCGAATCTTTTGGCTTTGGAGCTTCTTCTTCAAATTCCTGAAAATAAAAATTAAAGAAAAACAGTTTACAATATTAGAGTAATTAATAAAATTACTATATTTAATGAAAAACATTTCTATCACTATAAGATATCTCAGCTCTAAAATAATGGCTTTCTTATACACAACTAATGTGAGTTACATTTTATATAGTATTATGCAGTCAATAATGTTAAAAAAAGAATTATTTTATTATCTTGAAACAATTTAATGATTATCAGTTTGTTATGATTAATTCCATATTTTTGCTTTGGCTCAATTTTAAGTGCATTTTATAACACTAAATGGGCCTAAAATTCCAGTGTTTAATTTCATTAACTATTTGAAAGTTTCAGATAGTAGTCCTAAAACAAACATTATCTCGTAAGTCTTAAGTTAAGAATGAAATTGAAGTAGATAATGACGACATAAATAAAAGAGATAAATAAAGTGACTCTTAAAACAGATAAGTGGCAGAATAAATGAAAGCAAGATAAGTGAAATGGGAAAATTTACGGTTTTTCCTTTTGTATCAGTTTCCGGTGGAAATGAAAGTGCTTTTAAGGAAGATGTTGCAACTTTCCAAAAAGTTGTCAGACATTATTTTTATTGTATATCTTTCAGATAAACAATGAAACAAGTATCTCGCCTGATATAAATAAGGCGATTGAGGTGCATAATAAAAGCAGCGGAATATGTACCATGTTAAAAAAATATTATCAAAAAACAAATAAATGTTGTCAAATCTTAGCAGCATATCATTTTAGAAATTAGTAATAACTGGCATTTTAAACCGAATGACTTCTAAAACAAAGTTCACAAATATTTCAAGTGATTTTCAGAGTTTTTTGATTATATTAAAAACAATCTATAGAAAAAAAGAAATATTTAATTTAATTACTTATGTTGCTGAATAATTGCTGATTTGACGCGCTTTGGTTTTAAAAATCATCACAAATCAGTTATAATTTTATTCTTCAAAAGTGGGCTATGTAACATAAACCTTATTTATTGTTTCAATCATATATAAGATATTAAGTTTTAATCTGTGTAATCATATTAAAATATTTTTCTCAGTTAATGGCTTTGATGAATTTTCTTTACACTGTTTGTATCAAATTCCACAATGAAAGAATTCTTTACTCTTAAAAAGCTGAGATACAATCTCGGGTATTATATTATTTGAAGAAATAATTATAAATAAATCCTTACTAACATTAATATATTTTTTCTTTAATTTTCTTATTTTCCTCATTAGGACTCTTAAAATAAAACATAAGAAGGCACATCATGAGCATCCTCATAAGCACACGTGGCCTTTTTGCTCCTTTTCCATTACGGTTCCGTCCTTCCTTAAGCAGAAATATTCCTACATTCCATTCTTCTTGTAAAACACAGGAATGAAACTTATATCTCATTCTTTTGGATTTGGATTTATTAGATTATGAAAACGTCTACTGAGACTGTCTGCACAACAGAAGAGATGGCTTCGTGGAGAATTTTCTAAGGAGATTTCATTCTTGAAAGATAACTTACACATTAGAGTCGCTACTTAGGTTATAGACTAAATTAACTTTAGAGAGGTCTAGGAAAAGGGAATTTGCTTTATGCATATCTTGTCGTAACCTGCCGGATAAATAAGGTTTGAACCTAAGAAGAAGCTATAATGTTCTAGCTAAATTAGCAGCTAGAATACTGAAGAACTGTTAGCGAATAATTGCTTGTATCTAAGGCTTCAATTACAAGTCCAAGAAGAATTAAATTACCCTTTCATTCAACTCAAGAATATTCACGGATGGCCTCTCTCGGGCTTACAAAAAGCTTCCACTTGTGCTTTAAGATAGAAAAAGAAACTAATGTAATGCTAAATAAATTAGAAACCAGCCGAAGCTTCACAAAAGTAACTAAAGAGTTGACCCGTTTTCAAGCTCACCCGTGGATATTGCCAATACTGCCGAACGTAGTGAAATTTAACTTAAAGAAACAATGTGGCCAGAAGGCAGAACACGCTGTACTATAAATTTCTAAGCTCTTATACTGAAGTAATGGACACTTCAGCTTAAATACTAGTTCTACCTCATTTACATAAAACGCGATCCTGAAAATACATTCTGGCAAGGAATTGTAGGTATGAATTAAGAAATTAAAGAAACTTGTTCAAATAAAAATAACTATTAGAAAATTAAAATAAACCCCTACAAAGCAAAATAATAACAAAATGAAAGCTTAGGTTAGCTCAAGGGACCGAAAAACAAACTTGATTAGGAGAAATAGTCGGAGACGTCGTAAAATGAATGTGATAAGAGAAGTGACGCGTTAATCAGTAACAGCTTAGAAAAGTTTGATGGTGTTGACAAACTGAAGATCACTAAAGTTTTTTTTTTTTTTTTTTTATGAATCTTGTGTAGTCACTAAATTATTTTTACAAAAGAACTAGATTAGATAAATAGCTACTTAATAAATAGATAAACATTTTCTTTGGAGCATTAGCTTCCTTAACTTCAGCCTGATATTAGATCTTTAATATCTTACTGTTACTTGACAAGTATTCGGCCAATTTATGTTTCAAACTTAAAATATCTTCCAGTTTTCCATGTACTCAATATGTTGTCATAATTCTATCGTTTAACAAAGTGAAATATCTTCCCAATTCACATTATTATGTTGTTCTGTTTATAAGGCGAGGCATGTAATGTTTATTTGTATTCAAAAGTATGCAGTATGTGTTTTAAATAATGTGTATTTTAAAGCTTATTTAAAATATGATAATAACTGTTTTTGAGAATTAGAACGACTGAATGTATAGTTTCAGTTAATTTTACGCTCCAAGTATGTTGCAAATATTTTAAGAGGACTATAATGATGATACGGTTTTGGTCTCCTCCAATTGCGGTGATTTTTACCAGAGGACTCATTGCACAAAGAGTTAGTTGCGTTATAAAACGTTAAGGGAGCGGTCATGCCAAGATGTCGGGCGTATTACCGCTAATGATATAAAGCATTGTATCAGCCAAATGGCAGAATCCCAGTATGCTGTATCATGTACCTGCCAGGTGGCAGAAGTCTTGTACATATTGTAAATAAATGTGCAGTACAAGTTCTCGTTGAAATTAATCAACGAACACGCCACGATACAGATCAGTAGGATACTACAGATACTTATGACTATAATCCTTATAATATAATGAAAATTAAAGTTCAACTAAAATGCCTTTAGAACAATCAAATCAATCAATTTATAACAATAAATCAATTGACAAATATACATATATATCAGCGCTGTTTCAGTTCTGTTGAGAAGTGTGAATAATGCTTTTTTAATACAGTTTCAGAAATAATTTTAAAAATGTCGAAAATTGTAGTAAAAGCACATATTCAAGTAAATGGCAAACATTATGAATATGACAGTTGAATTGTAAAAAAATTACACTCATATCCATAAATTAAGGATAATGAAAAATCAGGCAAAGGAAGAGTTAGAAGCAAAACAAATTTGATTTATTTGTAAAGCTTATTTATTAAACAAAAGGTAAAGAGCAAAAAAAAAGATGCTATATGTTTGATATTATTAAAAAATTAGCGATTTTTTTCTCCCTGGAGCAAATTACAAAAAACCAATATTGGTTGGTATGAATGTTAGTACATTGTATGTCTCCCAGACGATGCAATACAGTCCGTCCAACGCCTAGGCATGCTGAGTATCAAATTATCGACCTGATCTTGGGGGATATTACACCACTCAAAAGGAAATGCTCTCCGAAGTTCCGGTAGACATGTAGGAGGAGGTTGACGGGATGCAACTCGTTGGCCAAGCATGTCCCACACGTGTTCTACTGGATTCAAGTCCGGTGAGAATGCTGGACAGTACATACGGGTGATATCCTCCGATTGAAGGCATTCGCTTACGATGTTTGCACGGTGAGGACGGGCGTTTTCATCCATAAACACAAATTGTGCGCCCATGGCGCCCCGAAACAAACGTACATGTTGTTCCAGAATGACGTCCCGATAAATTTGACTTGTCATGGTTCCAATTTGAACATGCAGGTCAGTTCTGGAACCCAGAATAATTCCACCCCAAACGAGCAGTCCTGCACCACGGTAATGGTGTCTTTTAATTATGTTTTCTTGGTGGTAACGGGTCCCTGGAGCTTTCCATATGAAATTCCGCCGAGAATCAGACTGCAAGCTAAATCGGGACTCGTCTGAAAACATCACACAAGTCTACTGTTGCGGTGTCCATAATGCATGCTCTCTACTCCAGACTAACCGCAGGCGACAGTGAGTTGCAGTAAGTGGAACGCATCTGACAGGTCTACGAGCATATAGACCAATCTGCGCTAAGCGTCTGTACACGGTCTGCCTTGAAATTGTCGTACCAGTGGCTGAAGAGAGCTTACGAGACAGGTCTGAGTCTGTGCTCCGCCTGTTTCTTTTGGCAGTGACTACCAAATACCGGTCCTCATTCGGCATTGTAACTGTGGGCCAACCTGTGCTGTAACGTCTACTCACATTACCATCATCTTGGAATCGTTGCCAAAGCCTGGAGATGACACTCTGGGCAATTCCAAGTTCGTCTGATACTTCCAGTTGGGTACGCCCACATTGCAGACGTCCGATAATTCTACCACTTAAAAAATCATCCAAATGCGTCATTTGTGTCATAACTATTCGGTTATTGCACTGAAATGCTTATAAAGCGCCTGCGAACAATTTTACTTCCTTACCTGTATTTCTTATATATCACTCTCTTACACTCTCGTCATTCTGACGTACCATCGGTGTCATCTGGTTACTTCCTGAAATTTGCATATGATTCTTGAAGATGTGTGTAGTGATTTTACAGGTGATATATTTATTTTAGAGTTCGATTTCCGCATGACTCCGAATTATCCTTAATTTATGGACATGAGTGTAAATCTACATCCCTCAAAGCTATTGAAGGAGGTTACCATTAAAGGTGGTCACTATTGGTTTATCTGGCTCCTGGATGTGAATGAAACAGAATTTGATATAAGAAATATATTTCATTATGCACACAGGAATGAGACTCGTACCGGGAGCATTGCGTATCGTCTTTCTACTCCGGCACCCGCAAATGAGCTGTGAGGCGAGATAGAAGATGCGACGTAAACAGAACAGGTTATGTAACAAGTTATGTGCGCCTCTCGCTCGCACAATGAAATGCTACACTCTTACAGAGCTTTTTCATTTGCTTTTCTTTCTGTTCTCTTCATTTTGTTCATTTACATTAGATGTAAATAAATAAAGGATGAAATACAGTGTTTCAAAAAGAGGTTGGAATATGACGGATTGATTAATTACCTATAAATGTGGCTTTTAATACAACAAATTATCTCCTGTACAAAGAATTATCTGTCGTTAGATAACACTAATTTTGGTAAACATAATTACTTGGATGGTACTTTGCATAAGGATGAAAGTAAAATAGGTGAGTTTTAGCGAATTAAGCTCGTTGCGCTTATAAATGGTGACATGAAGTTTTTTTATTGCGCTGTCAGACTAAGAATCGCAGTAATTATCTATTTATATTAGATATTAGATGATAATAAAGTGAACATGTTTGTTTAAAACTAATATGTGTTTATTTAGATGTATCTGATTTGACTTACGGCGTGCTTGTAATAGTAATTTTTAAAAGGCATGCAAATCCTTTAGAAGTGATAAGATAATTAGTCAAGCCGTGATACCGTTGTGATTTTCATTTGCTACATGGTTATATTAAATCAAGAACACATTTCGATGTGTGAAAACGAACGCAATAACTATTCTTCTAAAATAACGATTACTGGTTTTTATAAAAAACATGCATTTAAAAAGCTAAATTCTCACCGGGGTTTTATCCAAGATTCTCTCCATTACGTCTTGATCAACGTATCTTTTCAGTCCTCCCGCCATATGTTGAGGTCTCTGTTTAGTTCCATGAAGAGCGATTTTCACAAAATTTACGGAACCTTTGTAGTTTTTTCCAGTCTGTGTATAAATAAATAAAATAAATAAACAAAAAAACAACAAAACAAAGCAGAACATATTATATTCCAGTTCTTAAAAGTTTTTTTTACATTAAGAGCTTTAAATTGTCATCTCGTAAAGATTTGCAGTCTTAAGAAATTTATGAAGAAAAAAGTTTAAAATAAATAGTTTAAAACGGAAAAGAATTTAAGTTTACAAAATAATAAAAGAGTAAATAAAAGACATCAAGGTTTTGTTTAACAGTATTCTTAATTCATGTTACATTGTACCTTTTTAAATGATAAATTACACGAATTACAGCTCAATCAATACTTTAATTAGGTCATCCAGATCCCACGTATAAATACTGAATATAAATGTAATAGAAGAACTCTAATGTAAACAGTTACGTTAAAAATTATGCGAAGTATTTCAGAAATACTTATACCTTTTAAGTCATTAGCGTTAGAATTATGCTTAAAACTGGAAAGATTTGTTTGAAATATAATATGTAGAACATTGTGCGATTTAGAAAGCCGAAAATGTAAGAAATAGCTTTCTATTCATCCCCCTTAGCCAAAAATGCTCAATAACTCGCACAATGTTACTTTAATCCAATATATTTTATAATAATAAATAGGTGCGTAATAATATATTAATAATATATATAGTATAATATAATGATATATTAATAATATAGTATAATATTATGATACATTAATAATATAATATAATAAATAAATTCATTAATAATATAATAAATAGTATAGTATTTTATAATATATATTTTGTATATCAATAATAAAAAATAATAACTGAAAATTAAAAGTTAAGCTTCAAAATTTAGAGAAATATGTGCTGAGAAAGTGATAACTGAAAATTTGAAAGAGCTCTAAAGGTATCAAAAAGACGAGAAATTGTTCTGATTTTTGTAGACTGATTTATGAATATTTTAAAAAAATTTAGTTAAACTTTCAATTTTGGAACCAAAATGCTACAGCAAATTTTCAATCGAATTTTCTGAGTTTAATAAATTACAGCGAACGATTTCAATAAAGAATTATCTGAATCGCTGCAATTTTTATATTTCCCTTAAATTCGTTCGAAACGTTTTTAAATGATGCGAAATATTTCAGAAATACTTATACCATTTAAATCATTAGCGTTAGAATTATGCTTAAAACTGGAAAGATTTGTTTGAAATATAATATGTAGAACATTGTGCGATTTCGAAAGCCGAAAATGTCCGAAATGGAGAAAGATGTTACATGTAAATAAGTTCTTTTCTTCATGATGGCATTGTTTTGACATCTATAAATACAAACCTACCTGTTATTGGAAAAAAGTTAAATTGCTTTTTCCATAGGCCATTTTATTTGAGAAGATTAAATTAATTAATTAAGATATAGCATGTAAGGCTATTAATTTAAGGAGAAGGTGGCTTCGTAGAGGACTTTAAAAACGAATATTGCTTATTTTTTTGTTATTGTATATATGATAAAAACAACGAAAACACCATGCATCCAGTCGTTTATCGGAATATGAACCCGAGTCAAGCACTGTTCAGCGATCTTATCCACATGGTCACTAGTGAGTGTTGCTTAAAAAGGACTGTAATACATTTCCTATATTTTATTCCAATAATTGTTATGAAACCATATACAACTTAATTCTACATGCTGTTTTCATTTTCTAAAGTTTAAAGCATGGGTCCAGCAGCAAGCGAGGGAGTAAAAAACAAGAAAAGGTAAAGTCGTAGATGTATTTTTGAATTAAAAAACGCTAGTGGGAAAATTTTAATCACGACGTCATGAGGCTTTGCTTAAGCTTAAATAAAACTGTTTATAAGATTTATAACAATGAAATTGATTTGAAAAACAATACGAAAAAATGTTAACTCCTTCTATACTTTTTTATTAAACTTCTCAAGGCGTTTTTGTTTTCAGTTCGCGGATTTCGTATTTTGAAAACATTGGCACTTGAAGTAAATATATGCTAGAAGCTTTTTCCATAAGATAGATAATGAAATAAATGTATAGTTTCTTCTTGAATAATTAAGTCTATCTACTCTTTACACATTTCCATTAATTTATGACTAACTAGTACAGGTATTTATTTTCCTATCATTTAGCTTCGCCATTTTGAGCAACTCATTTTAAGTATAAGATTTTATGTTTTATAACTATATGCGAACTAATTTTTAAACCAGTAAGCTTAATGTAACTGCTTAGCACACAATTGTTTCGTGTGTTAAACTTAAAGCTGCGTACCGAGTTCAGACTGCAGTTTGTTTTGGATCTTAAGATTTTAATAGTTTTTAAAGTATTTTTTTAAAAAACTCTCCGAAATTTTAAAGAAGTGATGAATTAAACTGTAATCTGTGGAGTTTAGCACTCTTTTCAGTCGGCTTTTTCTTAAATATAACATGCATAATACGTATTTAAACGTATCTCAGCATTTAAATAAAATTACTCTCTCTTAAAAGGAAGTAAAATACATAAAAGCAAAAGTTTCATTTTTGTTATTGATGTAAAGGACTAATGAAATTTATCAAGGTAACGTAACACTACAGCTATTGCAAATTGATTCATTTGTTAATTTAATATTGTTAAACATTAATTTGACATAAACAATACAGAAGCGAGAAACGTTATTAACCTCTCTACACATTACAAGATTAAACTGCTATAACTGCTATTCTATTGGCTATCGATGGTTTAAGTGTGTTATGATGCAGAAATGCAATTGTGCAAGTAAGTAAATTAATACACAGTTAAGTACAGAACGTTCGATATAGGAAGATTCAAGATGGCGGATAAAGAGCTTGACGCGTTTTACACGTCTCTTGAAAAACATTATGATACTATCAACACAGCACTTGCATCTAAATGTAATATGAACCGGTGAGCTGCATGAACATGCTGGGACGGCTTTGGGTGAGTTAAAATCTCTTATAATTGAAAAATTTTGAAAGATTACCAATCTGCTAATTATCGCGAAGCTTGTGTGGCAAGTTTGAAAGACCTCTGTTATGAGACCTTCTTATGCTGAGGTGGGGTATCGCCATCTAGGGGAGAAAATGTAAACAAACAGTCAAATGATTGTAATTTGCTTGTTTCGGCAGCTGCTGGATTGGAAAACTTTACATCCCTTGATGTTAAAAAACTTTGAAGAAAAAATTAATCCGACAGAAAAGAAATTAGGTATAAAAAAATATTAGGACGATTTCGAATAACAGTATTTTAGTGCAATGCGCTTCCTCAACTGATCGTGATAAACTAAAAGATGAAATCAACAACAAACCTGAACTAATTTCTTCTCTTCCAAGACAGAAAAATCCTGTTCTACTTATTAAAAATGTGCCAAATGAAATTGATAATAAAGATGTATTAACTGTTCTCTTTGATCAAAATCCTGACATTTTTATAGTAATGAATGTATTAATGACATGAAATTCTGTTTTACTCTTAAAAAATTCCAAAACTCAAAGCATATCGTTGTCGAAATGAAACCCGAGCTATACAGAAAATGCCTACCTTTGGGGTATTTGCATTTTGAGTGGTCGGCTTGTAAAGTAGAAAAGTTTATCATAATAAATAGATGCTTTAAATGCCTTGGCTATAATCACAAAGAAGCTAACTGCAGAAATTCTGTTGCTTGCTTTAAATGTGCAAAAGAACATAAAAGTGAGCACTGCCAAACTCAAGAAACCCAAGCTTGTGTAAATTGCATTCGTTATAATAGCAAAATCCAGGATGTTGACAAGAAAGTTGATGTCAAGCAGGTGAGATTAAGTTTCCTCGGAGCAGGGAAGCCCAAACGCCATAAGCCTTTCTCGGAAAATTGTCCTTCTCACATTTTTATGAAGAATAGAATAATTTCTCAAATTAATTATGGCTAACTTTCCCATTTCTGTTCTTAAAATTATTCAACTTAATCTTCATCGTTCGAAAATGGCTACTCAGCAGCTTGTTTTAAATATGGAAAATTCTAACATTGATATCGTTCTTGTTCAGGAGCCTCACTCTTATAAATGCTCTCTTCCCAACATGCCTTCCTCTTACCGGGTTTACTTTGATGCTAATAGTGATACCATTAAAGCTGCTATTATTGTACGAAATCAAAAGCTGTCTACTCTGCTTGATATTAATAATCTTGATTATAATATGGTGTTTATTCATGTTACTCTCAATACTCAAGATTTTATCTTTTTTCCTATTATTTTTGAACCTAATAGAATATCGACTTGGATCTGCATAAATTAATGTAGCATTAGCTTCAAAAAATTGTAATAGATTGATTTGGGCTATGGATGCCAACAGCAAATCTGAAATTTGGCACAGTCCAGTTTCAGATTCTCGAGGGGTTAAACTTTGTGAATTTTTAAGTATGAATAATTTGTTCGTCCTAAACGAAGACTGTGGTCCTACTTTCTGTAGTACTCAAGGTTCAAGCTATATTGACATTACGGTTGTGGGATCTGATCTTCTTGCAGATATTTTGTGTTGGTGTCAACCAGATTATTAATCCCTTTCTGATCACTGTGCGATTGAGTTTGAACTTTCTGTAGCTTCTAATAACACTTCCTATGACAGAAAAAACAGCAAAATTGTCTTCAGTGTAAAGAAAGCTAACTGGAATATTTTTTACAATACATGTAAGCAGTCGATTGATGAGTTTTCGCAGTTTATTGAGTGCTGTACGGATAAGCATGCATTAAAACTCTCGACTAGAAAATTTTGTCTCGATTCTCTATAACGCATCTAAGGCTTCCATGCCTCTAAAAAGTCACGGGTTCATAAGGTACCTTGGTGGACTACTGAAATCGATTGTATGAGAAAACAGGTTAACGCTGCTAGACGTAGGTTTCAACGAAATCGTAACCCTACTCTTAGAGCGTTATATAAACAAAAATATCTTCACTTAAGGCATAGTTACAGTTTAAAGCTCCAGGATGCAAAGCTTAAGTCTTGGAGAGAATTCCTAATGAGTATAAATGAAAGGAATGTTTGGAAAAAAAT